TTTGGAAGACACTTTTTCGCTATGTCTATCGCCATGTTAAAATAATGTTCAGCTTGTGACAAATCTCGTTTAAATCCAAACATAATTCCTGCAAAATTATAAAGTTCAGCTAACATTATATTTTGTTGATCTTGTTTGGAAGCAAGTCTGAGTGATTTCTCCAAGACTTGAAATGCTATATTCCAATTTTTTTGACGATAATATAATCTCGCAAGATTGAAGTATACAACTGTCATAAGGCTTTCCAGTTCTTGTTCTTCTATCAACGTAAGTGAATGATGTTGATTATGAAGTGAAATAGCATCTTCAAAACATTTCATTGCCATCTGGTAATTTGTTTTTCTGGAATAGATTGTTCCAAGAGTATTAAGTACTCTAATACGCTCTAAAAACTCATCTAACGGAATTTTTTCCAACTCATCTTTACAACGAGTTACCCATTCATCTTGTTCAGCGGTATTATCGAATGTATCAGCTTGTACATAAATTACTTTTTCCATAGTCCTTTCGTTCTTACCGAAGTGTTCTGATTTGAATAGCTCTAATTGTGCTTGAAATATGTTAAATTTCGCTGAATTATGTGGTTATAATGAAATACAAGCATTTTCAACGGATTTTTCTAAACATTCGAATGCTTTTGAAATATTTCCATCTTTTTCATAGACACGGGATAATGATAAATATGTATTCGATAAGTTTTCGTGATCTTTAGGTGAATATTCTAATTGAGTTTTCAAAGTTTTTTCGAATATCTTGAGTGCTTTTGTATTGTTACCAAATGTAAATTGAAGACAACCAAGATTATATTGATATGAGGCAAGTCGTGCAGCATTGTTTTTTGCATCTGATTTTAACATAATTTTTATGGCTGCTTCTTGATGATATATGGCTTTAGTTAAATCATCTTTACCACTGTATACTAAAGCAATATTATTATGTGTTACAGCTAATGATGGATGATTATCAGGCAAAACTTGAGTATCAATTTCAAGTGCTGTTTCAAGCATTTCTAATGCTTTGTCGAAACACTTTCTTCTGATGTATATATCACTCAAATTATTATAAATTGCTGCAAGATCCGTATGTGTCGAGACTGTACCTTTAAGACGTATATTAAGTGCATGTTCTAAATTTTTCAAAGCATTGTCATCATCTCCTAATCTGCTATATATTTCACCAATGTTATTATACACTGTCGCTAACGATGGATTATACTTATGAAGTTTTAAAATATTTTCATCGATATCTAATGCTTTTTGAAAATATTCCAATGCTAGTTGATAATCACCATTATCTCGATATATCAGAGCAATTTGATTAAATGTATAAGCATTTCTGCGAGGTGATCTTTGTATTTGAATTGCTTTCGTAAAATATTCCAATGCCAATTGATTCTTACCAAGTTGATTATAATTTGAACCAATATGAGTATATGTCACCCCAATCTCATCCTCATAATAATATAAATGATTTCGTTCTATGTAATACTCTAACGCTGTTTGATGATATTCTAATGCTTTTTGATAATCACCTTTGTTGTGATAAATAATTCCAAGATATGTGTATATTAGAGGTACAGTTGTTTGATTTTGCGAAACATGTTCAAGAATAATTTGAAAGTATCGTTCTGCTTTATTATAATCACCCATTTTGATTAAAGCCGATCCGAGACTACATAAATCACAGTTATGACAAAATTCTTGTTCTAATTCTTTTCTATGCTGAGTTATTTCATTATCATCATCATTATTGACTAATTTTAAACTTACATACCAGTCTTGATTACTTCCGGGTATATTTGTAACGTCTTCAATACGAAATATTGTACCAACAGAAAAGAGTATTTCTTCTTCGTCTTGTATTTTAGAAATTTCTTGTAAAGAAGCAAATGGTCTTTTTATTGAATGACCAGTATCATTAATTTCAATTTGAAATAGAACAGATATTTGACCTAGTGGCTTATTTTGATCACCAAAACCAGAAAAGATAGATGCAACAGAATAGTCTTTTGTTGTAGAAAAAAATGAATTAATCGATATTAAACGTTCAACATTTTCTTTGATGATATTGAATTCATCAATGGTCATAAATTGACCGCGAAATAATTCTAAACTATCGATTTGATGATTTAAAAATTGTTCGATATACAGTTGACATAATTGATTATATACGTCGGCTGAGAAAAAACGAAATACAAAGAGAAAATCGATATTTTCTGTACGAAGTGCTTCATTAAATAAACGAAATAAAAATGAAGTAGCTGTATAATAACGAAGAACTTCACTTGCTTTATAATTTTGACGAAGTTCTTCAATAACTTTTTTTGTCGATTTATTTCTTTTTTCATAATTTTTACATTCTTCTACCATTTCATCGATTGTTTGATAATTATGCGGTATTTGAATCAAAATATCAACTAACAATTGCAACCATAAAAATTGAGCATTATCTTCATGTAAAATTCGTGTAGTTCGGTTTTTTTAATCTTTATTAAAAATACTCACTGACATTTTTAAACTGCGAGTATAATCACTTAATAAATGATCACATAAATCATCGATATTGAAATAAATACCACGAATTTTGTTGGACAATTCTTTTAATGTTGAAGATATATTGTCTTCCATTTGAAATATATATATGAAACGAATTTTTGTTAAATTAACTATTTGTCGTAGAAATATATCACTATTGGATTTAGATGAAATAAGAAAGATTTGAACATCATTGTCTAATGATTGAATATAATTAATACAATCTTCAATATTAACATAGATTGTAATAGATTTCAGTTTATTCTTTACAGAAGACATGTCAATTATGTTTTTATCATTATCATCTTGTATCCAAACGACTGGTAAATCATATTCATCATTGTCTCGTACCTCGATCACAGAGCGATCTTCCTTGTTTGATGTATCCTTGGTATGTAACATTGCCTCTCGTATAATAGGATTGCTAACATTTACTAGTAACAAATCTCGTTTGAATAACTCAATATCTGCAATAAGTTGTTCATCAGCATTTAGTGAATCTTCATGTACAATAGCACGTAGTCTTGGATAATCGCTGATTTTAAAATCAACTTCGTCTGGTGCTTCTGAATAAATATAAATATAAACAATTTGTGGTAGATCGTGAATTAATGGTAATATAAAACTAAATTTATCTGTGAGTGTGAGAAAAAGTTTTCGCCATTCATACGAAGAAATAAAATCGATACATTGATCAGGATCATGAAATAATCTCTTTGCTGCATCTATATAGATATTACTATTGTTATCTCTTGATGTATAAAATTGTTGAAAATCTGCTTTAACATTAAATCGCTCATCTAGATGTATTTCTAGAAATGCTCCACCATACTCTATATCACTAAAATTATCTTCCGATAAAGACATGATTTCTGTCGCTCGATATCGTCCCATGTTAATAAAATCAATGAAATCGTCAGTTTTTGTTGACTCTCTGTAAATGCTTAATAGTATGTGCTTATTATACCTTCAACTGAAAAAAAAAGACTTTTCGTTACTCTTACGAGCAAGAAGAACGTGAGAGAAAAAAAATTCTTTTTCTCATGTATGCATGCACTCCATCACAAGGACATAAAACATCGAACTGAAAATGTTGTTTTCAATTAAACAAGTTTCGTTTTCATCTCTACAGTTTTATTTGCGATGGTAAAAAGTCAACAACAATCGAAACTTTTGTCTTTGACTATTTTGCGGGTGTGGGTGTGGGTAGGTAGGTGGGTATGAGTGTTTGTTTTCTCTTCAACTACGCCCACACCCACCCACATCCTTTATGGTCGTTTCCGTACCGTACTGCTTCACCTGGGTGATGAAACTACCATTCATCTCCATGCTAAGCAAAAATACACGTGGCATTGACCTGGTCAGTGAAAAGTTGTTCGAATAGTAAAATATCTTTTGAAAATTAACATTTCGAGCTGTTTATCATCAAAGAGATTTAGGCGAGTATCCTGTTTCTAGATCAAATTAAACAGTGAATTCCTTTGCCAGAAAATCTATTGAAAAGCTCTTTCTTCCGTTCATGCACACTTCGGACAATTTCAGTGCTTTTTATTCGAAGACAACGATCCTAAAGATCGATCAAACTATACCAATCGTTGAAAATCTACTCGATAAATTAAAACTGTACTCTGACCATCTTGGAGTCCTGATATCAATCTAATTGAAAACTTGTAGTTTCTGCTGAAGGTAGAAGTTGCTCGACGACAACCAACTACACATAGAGACTTAGTCGATGCTATAAACAATGAGTAGAGAGTGCTGCCACATGAATTGTCAATCAATCTTGTGAAGAGCATAAAAAGTCGTATTCAAATAATGATTGTACTCTTCATTGAGGATGACTTGTAAACTTTTCTTCTTGTATAATGTATATCTGAAACTTACGAGAAATGAAAACAAGAATCATAAATTTTTTTTTCTTTACAATACCTTGCGAAATAGCCGTTCAATACAGGTGTTTCTAGAGAAAAGTCAACTAGCATTAATTAGCTATGAAACAACTTAGAGATTAAACAAGACTTCTATCATATTGACTTTTTTCATAAAAACCGTGAATATTGATTGACAAGTAAACCGGAGTAAAACTTATGTTTAAGTCATAATTCCATACTATCTCAGTCAATAGAGTTCAGATCAATGCTGGATATCACAGTTTTACAAGCTCTATCTTTGATAAAAAACTTCATGAAAAATGGTTGAAAGTGAGAGGGAATATCATACATCCCGAACTTATGGCCAGTAGTGTGTTTCACTATACAATCTTTTACAGTTTCTCAATAAACACGAAACTACTATGATTACATATCGTAACAAAGTATTTCGACAAGACAATTTTTTCTGATACATTTTTGATAAATAATTCTAATGCATATTTTAGAAGTATTATTCATAATCTATTTACCACTCTACAGATAATTTAGTTCGGATTAAATGATAAGTATATAGATCAACAAATTTGCGTAACATTGCGCAAACAGGGATTTTTTGTTGTATAATTGAAACAGACTATGGCATATCTAATATACATAGTAAGTCCGATTTATTTCTTTAGCAAAATTTCTCCAGTTTATTTGATTAGAATAAAATTTAATTTTTAGCTGATTAAAAAACACATAAACATCTACTAAATGTAAAATATATTAGAAGACTTCGTCGAGTTTGTCATCAATTGTATTAAATAGATGATCTATCATTAAATCAACTTTAAATTCATCTTTCCAAAGTTTATTCGCTTGAATACATGTTTTATTCTTTGTATCATCTTTATTTATTGGCCACGGAGAATGATAGATGACATAGCCAACAATTCGAACACAATCGGCGACATAGTTTAATGGCTCTTGCATATGAGAATGCCACATGATGTCGATCTAGAAAAATCTGAATAAGTATAAATAATATCATTCTAATGTTGAATATTTTACCGCATATGTTGGACGTATGAATTAGTGATCATCTTTTAAAGAATATTTAGCTGCTATATACAAAAATCGTTCATATGATTTTTTTAGTCGATTGATTGCTCCAGGTTCCAGATCAATTCCGCTTGACCAAGTACGATGATAGTCGTCAAGAGGAGCTGTTTTTAATGATTTTGACATAAATTGTTTACATAAATCAAGCCATTTTCCATCCGTGATTAGATCACCTTCAGTAAATGAAAAAGGATTTTCATAATCGTTGGTTTGTTCAGATGAGAATTCAAAATGAGTTTTATCCCAATAAGAATAAGTAGGATTAGTATCGGTGTCTATATATAACGGATAATGATGAAAGTTTGATGTAGCATTGTTTTCTTTATCTGTTGATGGTAATGGACAATACTGTTGACCAAATTGTTGTTCGTATAGTTGGCATGTGTCTCGAAATGCTTGATCTTTCAAAAACTTTTCCATATCAGAGATTAATAATGAATGATCAATAACTCTACGAAACAAACGAAGACAATCAGCTTGATACATTGCTGGCCGTAAAAGATGTGTTTGCCAAACAATTTCAATATCCAAAGTTGGAACAAGTAAAATATTTGATGGATAAGATGCTTTCAGTTGCATAAATCTATAATATCTTGTTATCATATGTTTTACAATTGATGGTTGTTGCCATTGTTGTTGAAATTTCAACGCTTTTTCTAGTAATTTAATAAGTTCTCGAGCTGTTTTTTCAATGTCAACTGATAATTCAATAGTCCTAAAAATTAAGAGAAGAAATTACCAAAACCTTTCTTGAGATCGTTCCTTCTCTCCAAAATCAATGTTCCTTCTAGTGCATAGGATATCTCTGTAACTTTCCACAAATGTTGAGCCTATAAAAATAAACTTACAAAATATTTTTTTACTTCTCTAAATCTCAACATTCAGGAATTTTCTAAAAATTAAAACCTAAAAAGAAACTTTTAATCCATACAAATTGTTTTCACTATACTTCAAAGTAGAGAACTAAGATTTGTTTTATTTGAAAGACAACTGTTTTACCTTTGCAGATGAAGCGAAGGAATTTTTTTATTGTTATTCTCTTCAATTTTGAGGAATGTCAAAATGTCTGTAATTTGAAAAACACCATCATAGTTCAAGATGCATAGAGTTATACTTCCAGAATGACACATAACTAATAGAAGGTAATAATATCCAGGGTTTCTTTCAGTTTTTGAGCTTACGCTGCTTATGAGTATTAGCATAGAGAATTTCTGAAACTTTTAGTATTTCTTTTAGAAACCTTTGAAGGTTGAGATTTTTTTAATGAATATTCAATGTAGAGATTCTAAGCAACTTTCTTGTATACTTTTTTCAAAAATAATCTTTTTTTGACGAAAAACGACTCGTCAGAGGAGAGACAACCTTAATCAGTCGTATGTTTAAGATTAAACAATATAATTTTTCAACAAAAACACAACAGAAGCTAATTTTTACATAGATGATGATGAATTCGGATGTTGGTGAAATCCACCAATAGCTTCAAACTGTTGATTCTCGGTTGGTCGAATAGGATATGAAGGTGGTAGATCTATGTCACATGCAGAATCAGACCAGTCCCTCATCGCTCGTAGTTTTGCATTGCGTAGACATTTCATATAAATCCAATCGAGATAAATTTGTTTGAATGATTTTGAATATATTTTTTTTGATGCTATTTAATATGTTTACAAATATTATTAAGTGAGGAAAACATGTATTACTCACAATTGCATTTCAATTTCCAAATTTCATCTTGATCAACAATCATTTTAAATCGTCGGCAAACCAATGATACGTTACATAAATCAGGTACAGAGAATAATTTGAATATGCGTAACATGATTTCGCTTGGAATTCTAGCAAATACAGATTGTGTCAGAGCATTTTCTGTTTCATTAAATGGCCATGTATGTTGCCAAGTTATATTAGGTGGACTAGCTTTCGATTCGATTGATTCAACATCGGAATCATCTTCATTTTCTTTGAGACTTGATGTAAAATGTTCCATTGTATAATCTAAATCGGGTGTATAAGAGCGCTTTTAGATGTAAATTTAAAATTGATTTTTCATGTTTTTATCTATACTAACAACGAATAATTTTGTTCTATTAAATATAAGTTTTACTTAGATAAAAACCATACTACCGAGAGTGAAAAGATTCAGAAAAAACCTAAGAATATATAACGAAATCGTGTATAATTTAACTATGATTATGCCTTGTCATTACTTATATCTATGCGAAGGATATGTTGAAAATAGTAGAAAATATAAATAAATTTATGATAAACTTCAATCTTTAAACAACTAATAATTTTTGTCTTGATAATAAAATTTCATATGAAAATGAGTTGATCAAATATATTACGAATATTAAACGAAATAGACTAGTCTGCTTTATCTTTTCTCACGGACTTAGTGTTTTAGGCAAATAAAAAGTATTCGGTTTGCGAAAAAAAATGCTTTTATGGTCGATTTTTTTGTAAAACACATATAAAAATTCAAAAATAGTTAATCTGTATAGAAAAGATAATCTGATCAACAATACAAAATATTGTTAGTATCAAACAACAGTGAAAATCTTCTAAGAATATTTTTAAATTTGTTTTTTTTGAACTTTTTCCAATATATTAATTGATTAGTTTTGAAATCTACTAAAAACGATACTAATTATTTTACATCGAATAGAAAAAAACAAAAGATTTACATAATCAATGTTTAATGAAAAACACTGCGGATAAAACTATATGAAACAGATACTTCTGTATGCACAACGTTGTTTTTTTTGTTGATTTAATATGCAATGTGATAAGAATATTTTTTCTTATTTTATAAGCATAGTCAATGACGCATAATATTTTTCCTATTATATGAATCATCATTATTTACCTATGTGAACAAATGTATGTATGTAATTATATAGGTGACTTGGTATATAGGAA